AAACAAATGGTGATTCTTTTGTAAGTGGACCACTGGGATTCGAACCCGTGCGTGGAACCCTGTGTAAGAACGCTTTGACCATTAGATAGACCACTAAGTCAGCTGCTCAAACAGCGACGTCTGGCGATGGGCACGCCCCGGAAGATCCCTACTCTCAATCCCAGTGATTAAGCCACAAAGCCTCAAGCCCATGTGATCCGGCCGGGTGCTAACGAGCTCTGAGCATACCTTTTAATCGACCATCCGACTAGTCAGCGCTGACTAGTCGGATGGTCTGATTTTACCGAAAAAGGTCCACTTGGGTGGACTTGGCGAATGCCACACGAAAGGTTCATGGTTGCAAAAACTCACGATATGGCCGGTGAGGTTGTGCCCTTCGTTATGCGGTCAAAATGTGCTACAAAAAAACATTGCAAGCCTCTCCCAGTCATCTGGTGCCAAATACGAAATGTTCTCAGACGATTCGAGAGTAATATTGTGAATCGCCAAGCTGTACCCGTAGCCTTGAGACCCACCGAAAACCGGAAATGACGAGCCCTTGCACGCCTCACAATACAACAGCTTGAGGGAAGACAACGCCGTGATATATGCCGATCACGCGGCCGGCGGACACCATCGGTATTTTGCCTCGGCATCCAAGCGTGAAGCAAGTGCCTACTTGATTTATGTTGTTGTTCCTGCTGCTGCTGGCGCTGCTCGTGCTGCTCGTGTTCGTGACTTAATCTTCATTCCAGACACCGTTTAGACCGCAACCAATTTCTTCCTACTATCTTCACGCAAACTACGCATTCCCGTGGCCACAAGCCAAACCAGTGGTGTGCGGTCACAAGCGAGGCCAGCAGTGCAGGGCTTTGTCCCCGACCAGGCCAACCGCACTTCATGGCCTGGACGTGTGGCAAGGATTTTTCACATCAATCCGCCGACGCAAGCAGCGCAATAGTGCCCTCTGAAGGCTGTATTCAAATTTTCGTGTTCTAGGCGGTATTTAAAGGCACCTCTACGACGGCGGGGGAGGGCGTCTTAGGGCACGAGAACAACGAAGGTATTGTCGTAACCTAACCTTGTTCGGGTGTATGGCTTCCGTTGCCCAATCTGAAGTGACGACGCACGCGTGCACATATCGACGTGAGTTTCGTAGGCGCTCGATGTTCGTCCTTCGTTTCGTGCGATTTGCTTCCTCAGGATTGGATCCAATACAACCGGCTGCAGAACGTATCAGCGAGCGACTTGAGAGATGCCAGTAGCAGAAAGGGGCTAAAATACGTTCGCAGACACCTTTCATCTACAAGAGCATCATTTCAATCTATGAGGGTGGACCCGATGAATGTCCTAGCGGTGAGTTTTGTAGCGGTGGCGGGAACAGCCTTTCATGGTTATTTGCTGCAGACAGTGTGGCGCCGTTTGTGCATCGACACACGTTGTGGAAACAAAAATCACCCGGGATTAAGATATTAGTGATGCGCCCGCTTTTTCTTTCCGCATACTCTGTACCACGTTTTGATCGGGTGTTAGGCCCATGGCCGTTTTGATAGGATGTTAGGCCCATGGCCTGGACTGCCGCACCCGAAACAACCACAACTGCACCCCACGTTTCCCTTTCGCCAGATGCTGGTAGACCACCTGCACTCTTATCTTCAGCCATGGTTCAAGGCTGATATTCAACGCATTCTAGATGAACCCGACATCGCCGAGATGAGGAACGGAAAGTACGTCGGTATGCACATCCGCCGAACCGACAAGGCGAACGAAACCAAGCTCACGAAAACCGAGGTATGCAGCGCAACCCACGGAACTTCGCGTAAGGATGGACGGACCTGATGGCTTCGCTTATTGACATTGTTGTGCCGCTTGCCTGGTACGCTCACGATTCCTCCCGATGAAGAAAATGCCAAAAACGCCACGCTGCAAGCCAATGATGGTGAACGTTTGAATTATACTGTTCGTCCCGACAGGTGTACTTTCGGAAGGTCGCCCAGTACTTGAGGTCGTCGCCAGGAGGACTTAGAGCTGCCGATATAACGGGCCTTTGGCTGTCCACAGACGAAGTGTCTGTTTTTAACGAGGTGGGAGGACTGAGAGCGTCGAGTCCGGCATATATATAGTTTTTCTGCCCAAACCTTGGCCAGGGGCAGGGGGCACAAGAATGTCCAGGGCATTCTGTTCATCTTGCATGCTGCCACGTCTTGTGGGAAGTTGCGAGCGATTGGATAGACCCATCTGTGGGCCGGTTCGGCGGGCGTTAAGTCGTTTTCCTGAGTACTGGGGAGAAAAGCAGAATCTCCAACGTATGTGTCGCCGCTGACATGTTTTTCGTCGGTTTCCGCTATGTTACAAGTGTTGCAGAGCATCCGGCTGCTGGTGGTAGCGACTTCCCAGGACATTTCCATGCTCTACCCAATGAGCTGAACATTGATTGTCCGCTGTGGATGAGGCCTTCATCCAACGTGACAAGTCCAAATCTAGTCGGTGGAAACATGCGGTTCTGCATCCAACGGCTGTTGTGTTACGACCCAAAGCTTGAGAGGGCGAATGGCTCCCGTCTGTCATTCGCAATGCGCCTACGCTAGCGAGTGGACAACTACCGAATGGCCTAATCCTTTTGGCCGTCCCAAAGTTTACCGGCAACAGCATCCAATATGTTGTGGATATAGGGTATGCAGGATGAATCAGATAGAAGGTTGGCCCTTTTGCTGCCCATGCCACTTCTGCGCGATCTTTTTCTACATTGGTTCGTGTCATCGGCATAAGCAAACCAAAATCCAATGTTACACCCGCGAGCGTTCCTCTTTCGACCTCGTGTGTGCACATCAGGTCAAAAGGTTGGTTCCGCGCTACTTCCCCAACGTCAAGCCAAGTGCAGTGATATTTGTTTCAGGACGCGTTACTGTGCGGGCAATGCCACCCGGATTGGCGAATCAGGACGGCCAAAGAGACCGCAATGTAAGCGCCTCGACGAGTCGGATACGAGCAATGATTGGCTCCCGGAGACAACTTGATTTTCCCCGTACGTCCGCTGTGCAACGATGACATTTGCGCCACACCACAAAGAAAAAGTATCGACGAGCAACGTCGCGAATGTAGCGTCCTCTCTCAGAGCATGTACATCGTCCAGCATACCCCCCTCCCTGATACTCGTGCTTCCTGGCGTTTCCCTGCGGTCATCACCCACAGACGTACGAAGCTATGGTAATACTCAAGGCCGAGCTGGACATGCTGGCTGGGGCCACTGTGTTTGTTGGCACGTACTCCTCGAATATGGGGCGTCTCTTGGCTCTGATGCGTAGATCGCTAAATAAACCTGACAAATCCGCCTTAAGTACCGACCGCCCCAGCTGGTTTCTAGGGCGGAAACGTCGCGTCCGTAAGTAGAGGACACACAAATCAACAGCATATGGAGAATCACTGCCGCCCAGTTCTGTGTTTTAGATTATTGCGTCTTCCAACCGGTGCCGTGGAGCGAAGCAGGATGCTTGAGCAACGAACCCCGTCCATGTGATTGAAATAGCTTTGGAAGATTTGTGGCGATTTTGTCCGTAGACCAGAAGCAGAGGCTGGCAGAGCGATTTTTTTCAAGAGCACTTGTATTGTGCAGGACCAAGACGTTTTCTGTTGTGTTTATTTTCCCAGGAGGCGAGTTGAGGGTGGGAAATCAGATGGGCTGCGCTGATGAATCTTGCTGAAGTACTGATACACACGTCTATTTCTACGCATGACTTTCCATTGAACATGGCGACAAGACCTCGAGATGCATTCTTCACCAATGTTTCAACTCTGTCGAAATGTTTGATCTTCTAGAGCAACGAACCACAGGTGGCAATCAGCAGTCGTCTGTCGAGGGTACCAGCTGGGTAGGAGGTTTGTGTGTAGGAGAGCAGTACAGAGTACGAGCGGAGAGGGGCCTCGACGTTTTTGCCAACAATTTCCGTTGTACCCCTATAGACATGGTACGCACTACCTGCCATAAGTTTCAAGGCGAGAAACCACGCGTTCGAGGGAGACTTGAGACTAACGGGGTTGACAATATATCCCACACGAAGCAACATTTGTCACACACTGTGGTAAATGTACCCGACGACAACATTGAATGGCTCGATGTTGAGCTACGAAAAAGTCCACACGACACGCCAATGGCACTACTATCAAGAAGCAAATAGACAGACCCAGGTCTAGGCAAGCCTCGTGAACAGCGCGACATCTGTCAGTCTAACTCACAGAATTGAAACTCCGTCAACAATATGCCTACTTTGCAAACGTTGCGACGTGCTCCCTGACGAATACTTACGTACCCACTCGACACAGTCAAGAGTTTTTCATCGGGCATTGGACTACTACCAAGCGAACACTTCCGAGTTTCCTACGTCTGCTACCTACAACTTCACACAAGTGCTCCTCTACGGTACATGTAGTTGGTTTCCATTCGAATTCGACCGGAATTGGGGGGATCTACCCCAAAGACTATTTCCGACGAACAACGCATACACGTTTCTGTCCACCGTCTTCGCTGGGCCAATATTGCGGTGTCCGTTGACACTCACGGAGACGTTGAATTTCCTGCAGATGACAACAGCACCAGTTGGACGTTTCTCCAACTGTTCAATTCACAATACACGAGCTGTACACCACGTCCTATCTTATCCGCACAGTTCCCGATCTGCATCGCCCCCGCGAATGTTTCTGGCCACGAGACGGAATCTCCCCCGAACAGGATGTTAGCACCTTGCATTCGTTAGGTTTAATTGCGCGACAGCTGGAGCAGTGACCATGACACGGATGGCGCACTCCCATCGCTCGGTGTATGGTCTTGGCACTCATTCTGTCCGTTTTAAGTAGACCGGTGGCCTTTTCAAGCAAATTTCTCTCTTCCCCTGTGCCATACAGTTTCCCAATCTGCCGGTGCACTTCAACATACCGACGACTGTTCAAATATTCCTCGGAATCTCTATTCGCGGCGATGACGCTGCCGCCCTGCAAACCAAGCTGGAAAATCTACGCTCACAGCAGACTCGTCGGGCATGTTGAGTGTTTTTCGCATCAGAGCCACCATTCGGCCAACATTGGACGAGAATGTGCCCGAGAATACGGCGGATCCAGCCAACATTTCCAGCTCCGCCCTGAGATATACCATGGCCTCGTACGACTGCGGGAAGTTACGTCAGGAGCACGTTTTGGGTAAGCGACAACTACTGGAGATACACAACGAGTGAAGATCATAGTGTTGACTCAGGGGGTCGAAAAACTGGCTTGATGATCGACGGAGCTGAAAGACGCCGTTGTACACAACCCTCCCACTTACATTGCGATCAGCCGCACCCCGCATGAGCTGCACAGGCTTCCCCCCTGTGACATACAGCACCGCGTTCGGGGCAATGCCCGGGAAGAACTCCGATGCCAGCTGCTTAACCTGGTTCTCGCACAGTATATTGTCACGGGGTTGTGCAGAGAGGGGTCTAGACGGGATTTCGTCTTGTAAATCGATTGCACTCGAGCAGCAGCAAGTGATTGTTGATCACAAACGCGGAGACCGTACCCAAGAGGTTTGGACACCAAGATCCTACAGGGATTCTTTTAGCTTTTGAGAAAATATATGTTCTGTCTGCAGTTGTCAATAGTGGCGCTCGAGATCGATTCATCTTGCGGAATCACCGCCAATCACCTCCAATTCTTTTACAACGAGTTGACGCCTCCTGGCCGGACGAATCGTCTAATCTGGCCGATTAAGTATCTGAGGACTTGGCACCGTAACCACGATCCAAGGAAATTTATTTTCGTGTTGGTCCGTGAGCCCTGTCGGACGCCCCGCCGGGCGTCCGCGGAAGTGTTTGGAGACGTGTCGATGGCCGCCCACGGACGCCCACGAACGACCGCAGACAAATACACCGCCACTCACAGCGACCAAGGTACTGGACAAAACCATCCTTCGACATCTCCACCGACCATGAAGTGCTGGTGGGCGCGCGTGGACAAGTCCACGAACCATTGCTCACGTTCGCCCCAAGAACTCAAGCACTTCGCGGGAAGCAGAGAATGACCACCCTATTTTGAACCCCGACGCTATCCGCGGGTAGTTGAATACGTCGCTGAAACAGGTGAGGACTGGGTTCTGCAAGGACTGGGGTGGGCTTGGATAAATACAGATAATATGGGGTGGTGTACGCAGTTCAAGCTATGTACCGGTTTAGCCGCAGCGGGACTATCAGAATGGCGTGACCGCGAGGATCAGAGCAGTTCGCTTTGGACGATCTCGTTGCGCAGCGTACGGAGAGTGGTACTTTGTGAAGAATAAATGCATTCAAGAAACATGGTCAATCTAAGAACCTTGCACGTTGAAACGTCGCCTTGCCAAGGTGATGTAGGATAGTATCTTGGTGTGGCGCCTTAAGCAGGGTAGCGTTCACCCCGTCATGACCGACAATAACCGTCGTATGCGCACGTGGCTCAAAGTAGTTTGTAAGAACTATATATAGAAATATCGGTAGGCGGCAAGTCTTGCACGACGCACGGCGGTTTGGAACTTTCTCAACACTAACGATCTGCAGGGATGGACAAGATCGTGGAGTCTGTCAAGTTTCGAGCGGTAGAACTCCCGGTGGCGACACGGCGTCGCAATGGCCTACTGGTGCTTCAACGACAACGTTTGAATAAGACGCGCACCTCGTCGAACACAGCTTCGTCATCTGAAGACACCCATATTCCTGTGATATTTGTAGCTGCCATGTCGTTCGTCGGCGAGGCAAGATAGTTGACAGCCTTCGCCAAGTATGCCTGTCAGGTGAAACAGAAGCTCCGGTACTCACTTGGCCAGTAATCGGTGAGGGCGGAAGCCTAGCGATTTTTATTTGAGTGCGGGCTACCGACCTATGGGGCGATGACGTTCTTAAAGCCCGAACGTACCCGGTAAACTAATGGAGCAACGCTTTAGCATGAGCCCCCCTGCAATTCATCTTGAAACACTGCACCTTGGTCTTGACGGGCTGTACTTCGTTCGCCTTGTCTGTTCGGCGGATGTGTAGGCCGACGTACTTTCCGCTCCTCATCGCGGCGATGTCGGGTTTGTCAAGAATAGCTTGAACATCGGCCTTGAACCATGGCTGAATATGTGTATGTAACAAATTATGTAGCATCTGCCGAATGCAATGAAACATTGAGCAACGTCATGTGATTATCACAATCGCAGTCTTGACGGAGCCAGAGGGCAAACGCCTGAAAAGGAGCTGCACGCGTCTACGACGGACAACCATTGCACAGATACGCAACGGCAGGATTAACCAATTCACGTTCATCGCCTACCTATCTGCGGCATACCAGAAGCAATCCTCCCGGAGGGATTTCCGATGATTCCACAAAAATATTTCACCATGACCAACTCACAGCCATAACCTCCAGCATGCTGTAGCCAAGCACTGCAAGGGACTGTTCGGTCGAGGTACGTCTTTTACGAATGACGGTTATGTCCTTTAAGCCACCGCCTTCTTTCATGTCGTTTGCGGATACATGATGCCGATTGTTGAACTTGTTCCAGTCCTGAAGAATTCAGCCGGCGAGGAGAATAGTGGTCGAGCACACCGCAGTGCTAGACGCGTTTAGCATGGTATTGGAAGAGCAGGGGGCTCACTCGTGGTACGCCAGAACGGGACTACCGTTGTTCAGAAGTATCCAACGACGCCTGCTTGCTGCGGGAAGACCAATCGCAACTACCCCGACGCACTTGCAGCACAAAATCTCGACATTTCTCGACGTTGGTGCGTCGCTGTCAACGTTTCCATCACAGCATCGAACGGCGGGCATGCGTACTTTGAGAACAGGGAGCCCGTGCCATGCGAAGGTTGTTGGAAATACATAACCCCAAGACAAGGAGTGCCAACGGAGGCGGACCTTGTCACTGTCAAAGGCGCATAGGTGGGGTACCGCAGCAAAGATGCAATGCCAGCCTCCCCGTGTTTCTACTCCGTTGCTTTCAACGTCGCACGTCGTTCGAGAGAAATATCTGCCCGTCTGGGTGATGACAGAGGCATCATTGCGCCCCTCCAAAATTGCATTAGCCCAGACGAGAAGCATATCTGCCAAAGCACGTTATGAGGAAGGGCCAGAACGAGTGTTGAAATATTTTTCCTGGCAAGTTCAGAGTGCTACTTGGGCACCGAGTGCATCTTTCTTCAAAACCCATCATTTTGGGTTTGTTTGTGGGTGGCGGGCACGAGCGCGAGTGAAAAACCCGATGTGCTGTGTTGTGCCTTTCTATGAAGAGGCAATGACTTCCGACTTGTTGCAAGTTGGATAGAGGTCTTTGAAGGCGTACGGTGCCGTCGCCGGCTGCAGCTGTACGAGGGATGGGGGAGCAGTTTGCAAGAAACGAACAACAACCCGCATTCCACAACTTGTCTCTGGGCCAATGTATGAATAGAGCGGAACGTGTCTCGGGAAATTCCTCACAACTCGCTCAATCCAAGCACCACCTGTGCCTCAGACAATCCTTCCTGACACTTCACGGGTGACACAAGTTAGGGGTGTGCTTTGTCGTCTGGTGTACGAGACAATTTGTACGATGAATACCCGTCGAATAATCTGAACCAGCTTGAATTGACATTTTTTTGTGCGACTTACTGTTAATATTGCTGCCGTAACCAGCAGGCCTCCACAGGTATGGGTCTTTCGCCGAACCAGCGCAGCCAACCGCGTCACTGCTAAACTTGTCCATCCATTCTTCGGAGAATGTCCCATTTTCTCGGCGAAGACCAACGTCTACCGCAACGAATGGTAAGGTCGGGGGTACACCCCCTTGTATCCGTTGTCAGGTTCCAAACAACAAGGCAGCACGAGAGCACACTTGGGAGTGTCAGTGCTTGCGTCGGATCGCAAGGCGAATCTACCACCCCCAACAACAAATGTAACACAGGACACTTTTGGAGAAAGGAGGAGCGTGATAGACCTTAACTTGCATAAACATCGAAGACGTATGTCGTGATCGAAACCTCGTAGTAGTAACGCAGGACGATGACCTCTACATTATGTACCAGGTGCCTCACAGATCAAGTACTGGCATTGACAAGGACCTCTTTTGACAGCGCACCTTCCGCGATCTTACCTCGCTCTCCGAAGGCCTTTCCCAAGACGTCCAGAATCCCCACCGCGAGCGCTAGCGCGGTTGGGAGCGATGCTTTTATTATTGCCATGATTGAACCCCAAACGACCCTGGAAATGAGTCACACAGGTGATATGAGTAACTAGGGTTAAGGATTGGCCCCCCGCCCCCCAATGGGGCTGGGGGCCAACATCCAGGACGGATGGTGGTGAGTGTCCGGGAGGAAGGAAAGAAGAAGAAGAAGGGGAGAAGATTTGTTGGGGCGGGAAGAAGGGACGGTGTTGGGAGAGGCAAGGAAGTGGTGAAGAATTTCGGCACTCGACGAGCGCGCGGTCCCGTCGGGGGTGAAAGGGAAATGTCAGTCCGTAGTCTTGTCTCTATCGGAATCGAAAAGCCGAAAAATCGAGGTATACATTATGTACATAACGATGGAGAAGGCCGACGAGGAAGGTACGAAGAGAGGAAATTGCACCCCACGTTCGAAGTCGGTGTGAAAACCGCCGCAAGGAAGGAGTGCGGAGGGAACAAAAAAATACCCGGAGACGTCGACGTTTGCGTCGTGGAACGATCCTTCCGTATAACGCAGGTACTCACCAATGCAAGACAAAGAGGTAAAATACCCATCGTGAAAGTCAAAGCGCAGGTCATAACTGCATGACTCATGCGCGGAGAAGTTACCACGGAGACTTATCAACAAGCAAGAAGTTTGAAGGCTGGCTGAGAAGGTTTGAAGCCACAAACACTTCAGCGACGATGACAAGCGCAACGTCAAAACTTCACAGGAAGAAAAGTGCATACAAAAAGAGAAAAGGCCGGATGCCGACCTGTGGCTCTCTCGGAATGAAGGGATTCCCACCATTTCCAACAGGTAATCTACAAGTACGGACATATGAAGTTACTGGGTAGAGAGAGATCGGAACGGTTTTTCATGTGAAGACAACAACAACAACAACAACAACAACAACAGCAATGATGAAGGTCGACCCGTCCCGCGTCGTTCGGTGTAAAATGATAAATGCGAAAGGTGGACTGCGTAAAGATCCAGCGGTCTTTTTCGGCAGTGGCAAAGAAATATGCAACCACATGTCGCAAAAAAAAAAAGTTGAGCGGGATACTGTAGTAGTCGAGCTATGCATGCAATTTTTTGCTCTGGTTCACTTTTGCCTCCACAACCCGAGAATCCCACTGCTGTATCTCGACCTACAAGACTCCAATCAACAAACCAGCACTGGCAGAAGTGCGTGGAAGATGCTGTGACAGCACAACTAAGTCGACACTCGTACGACTTCCATGTACAGTCGGCGTCTGGTCCATACTGCTGTAGAAATACAAAAATCGAGCCATCTTTTTTTTATTTTTTTCCATACTAATAACAAGAAATGTGTATCACGTCACGACGACCATCCTGTGAGTATATATATAACATGACGTAGCCTGAATGCATCAGTGATGACTCTACGCGGCCTGTCAAACATCGTATGTTTGCCAGCTACTATGTAGACTACATAGACTACTGTAGCACGTGTACTTTGGCAATGACAATATTGTCCATGGGCAGCCTCGGGGCACGCATAGATATAGCCGTTCGTGGACCTGGTCCACAAACATGAGCGTGATCACGCCCGCATAGCTAGACGTGCGTGAACACTTCAACGGATAGAAAAGGCATCCGTACACACAAACCGATCGCGAGCGGGGATTGGTTGCCTCCACATATGCATCGGATTGCGAATCTCAAAGTTATACTTTGGTGTCGCGATGTGCACAGGTCCTCCGACATTTTGGGGAAACGTTCATATTGTAGACAGCTACAGTGTTAGCAGTCTTGTCCGTGTTCACGTCAACCTATCCGTCGACACGTCTATTTCAGGGACGTCCATCCATACGTTCCTTCAGCGTGCACTACTGTCACTGTAATGCTCCGTTCACGTTGTACAATACTTCTCACCCGTGAGCGCGCTGCGCGTCGATCCACCTCTACCTTGGTAGGTACGGTGTTTCGGTGTGCTGCTTTCAAGTTTGGTGGCTCATCGATGCACGAAACAAATACAAGTACAGGATCCAACTGCATGTATGTATATCCATATTCATGCACATATATGGATGTGCATGCTTCGACCAAATAACAGAGAACGCCGACGAACGACTCCAGCATGCCCGCCGATGAACTACTGCATGTGGCATGGTTGCGCTTCCTACCTGATGGTGGTGTCGCCTTCCAGAACACGCAAACGCACGTGACTTGTGTAGCCCCTCTGATGTGAAAAATGAAATGAACAGCGCGAGACTGTCATTTTCGTCAAAAGATACTGCGACGGTTACAACCAACCAATATTAGCATCGGATTGGCCGCGGCGGGTCGACCAACCTGCCGCGAGAGGCGTGTTCCGCATGTTGTCGACGAAAAAAAAAAAAAAAAGCAACTCGTGTAGTTTCGCCGCGCTCGATAGCATCGATGCTGCTGCTAGATATCTCGCCCGTGTCCGAGCGGGAACCATATCGAAGAGCCGGCAGTCGAGAGCTTCTGGCGGACTGCTCTCAGAAGGACAAAGACCATCCACTGGTGTCTAATATAACGCGTTCAACAGGCCAAGATTTGGATCTGCCAACGAAGAGCGAGAGTTCTCAATCTGGTTGTCTACATACTATACTATGTGAGTAGAGTGTGCCCATCATCCGCCACATGTACTCGCGTTTTTACGTGTGGCCCCTAAGATCATCGCCATGGATGGGGGGTTCTCCGTTCGGATTGTCTAACTGTTTGCATTCGTTATTCTTTGCGGATTCGAGTCTAGAGCAGGACGACATGTATCTATCTACATACCTCCTCTGTTAGAAGGCTTACGAGTCCGCGCTGAGGCCAGTTGTTATGGAAAGACTTCCCAACTGGGAATCCCGATATTACACCTTTTACATCCAAACCCCCATGCGTCAGCAGGAGTTCTGCGCACTTGG